CACTGGCAGCCATGACAGGCGTACTTTGAAGTGATCATAACTGCACCACAGAAATATTAGGAATGGCTGTGGCTGTTTCACAAATGCCAATATATACACAGGTAGGTAAATGGCTGTTACACAAAATGCCATATATACATAAGTCTAAGTGGTAACAATTTGTAACTGTCATTTTTTGACTGTCGGAATCAACCAAATAAATGCACAATTTCCCAACACATTGATACACCACATATATGCAAACGCTCTAAAACTGTAACCATTGGATACAGAACATATATGTAAGCATAAAACTAAATAACTGGGTAATTCACAGAATTTTTGAATGGCTGTTTGACAAAATGCAATATATAAATAATATTAAGTTCAGGCTTGTTTCACAAAATGAAATGTCTACACATACAAGTTTAGGGTTGTTTGACAAAAGCAAGATATACACATAAGTTCATGGCTGTTTCTCACATGCAATCTACACATAAGCTCCATGAATGTTTCACAAACAAAGTATGCTATGCATAAGTGTAGGGTTGTTTCACAAAATGCAATATATACACACAAGTCTAGAAGGGTTGATTCACAAATGCAATATATAATAATGCGTCTAGGGTTTTTTCTATAAATGCAAGTAATATATACACATAAGTGTATGGTTGTTTCCATAAATGCAGTATATGCACATAAGTCTATGCCAAAGGAGCGCAACGTTAATACATAGACACAGTCAGGTGCCAGTCCAAACATCGAGAAAATCCACTTCAGCTAATGTTTTTAGAGACAGCTGATCAGGTGCCAGTCAAACATCAATCCACTTCAGTAATGTTTGGAAACCTTTATTTCCAACCCTTTCTCGTGGAAAACTGAAGTACGTTGGTAGGATCTTAACTGAAATGTCTGGGATGTCTCGTGTAAAGCATGGTCAATTATGGTATTGTCTTCAGTTGTGGCTTCTGTTGTTACATTCTGAACAAAACCAAAATGTCTAAGGAAATTTTCATTAGATGACTGACGTTCTGATGTTGTCATTGAAGTCACCGACGATCATCATCCCACAACTGAAAGTTTCCACTCCAGTCTTTCCACCAAATAATTCTCAAACTATTCTTGAACAGCTGTCATTTGATAGCTTCTAGGGGCCTGTATATCAAAACAAGAACAATATCTATGGTGCGTTAGTACCATGCATAGATGTTCTATGTTGCAGTTTTGTTTTAGCTGTTCAACATACAGATTTTCTTTCACAAAACATGCTCACACCACCATGAGTCTGTAGATTTGAAATTCGAAAACATAGTGTTCGAATGGTCGTATGAAGACCCTGTTTGGTGGTAAAACTTTGCAAGATGGTAAAAGCATGTTTGGACACATTTGGAGATGTTATCCATGTTTCAGTAAGGCATATGATATAAGCCTTTCATGAATCGCTTTGTCATTCTTTTCTCAAACAATGAAAAATGTGCGCCCAGATCTTTGTATGTTGTGCAACACAACTGTCAAATCAAAAGTACGCTAATTAGTGCAAACCTCTGCATCAAAGCTTTTCATTTTTTGACCGAAATGCATTTGTCACTTGATCATTGCAGTATATTTTGGCTGGATCAGTGCCTTTGCACAATCAAACCTTCTAATGAGGTCATTAACGGCTAAGAGCAACATATGCCTGTCCTGGAGTTCTGATTCCATCAAAAGATACTTCGAAATCTGATCAAACGCCAGACCCTTCGCGTTTTGTGTACCGTATTAACGCTTCATTACAAGTTTTACAAAAATTGCCGGCCGAACGCCAGCCGCCATTTTCTTACTGTCTCTTCCCTGCATCCTCAATTGGCGTGCTATTGACTGAAACATACATGGCCAGAATGCTTTCTTCTTCTCAGTTCTGCACCCAACCTTACACTTATCACTGTTCAATGAAAATTTTGATTGGTTTTCTTCATTGTCTCCTCATTAGCAAATGGGAAACAGTACCAAACACGCATGCATTTCACAGATCATCAGCTGTATCAATATTTCTTGTCAGCATTACTCTGGCACCAATACCTAGAGTTTGATTTTGGGGCAAAAGCAAATGAGCCACACATTTTCTTTCTCAGCTGCACATTTGTCTGACGCTGTTTTAAAACATCTTCAGCAAGCACGAAGTAATAATGTTAGGACATTTGGCGCTCAGCATTTCTTCTTCAACTTGGAACCCGTCTGGTTATTTCTTGGGAAAGATATGTATACAATCCAGACTTTCTCCAGTTTCGACCTTCTAGAGTTGTGGTAATGTCTTCTGGCTGTAGTGGGATTTCAATGCATCCGCTAACTTCGAAGCTCCGTCTAACATTTCAGCAAACATTAGGTTTCTTTGACGATGATTTGTGTCATCTCAGCTTTAACAAAAATGTCATTCCAATAATCAACGCTTTAAAAGTTTTCTGCAAGGCAGTGGTCTCCCCTTTAACAGGTGGTAGCTGGTAAAATCACCAACAGCAAGGCATGGACACACATTCCTAAACCGCACGCCATTTTGGAGTCTGCTTTATTTGCTCCAGTCGGCCATGAATGTAAGAAAGACAAACAATTTGTGGTCCACCATTGATATTTCATCCAATAATCAACAATTGAACGGCTCTGATATTATTTGTGATTTAAGGGTATTGATCTTCTCTTCACTGAGGTAACAGTATAGGCAAGTGTGCATCAATACCACCTGAGAATTCTACTGTGAATTGTCTGAGCATCAATGTTGGAATGCCACCCCAGTTGGTGCAGTAAGTAAGACAGAAATGTCATCTGGATTATTCTGGGTATTTCTAGCCAGAAGTCTGCTGCAATCACAGCTTCATTTACTTTGATGAGCAGAGACTTGCCTGTAAACCAGGGCTATGAACACACAGATAGAAAGGGTTTGGTTCCAGACCATTTCTTTCTTTCAAGAGCCCATTGACGTTACTAGCCAGAGAAGATGGCACTTTGTTCTGGAGTTGGAGTGACTGCAGAATCTTTTGGGCACGGGTTCTGGACAGCAGCTGTTGAAACAGGCAATAGTTTCATGGGTTCTAATGGTCATGGCCCTGTAAGTCTGGGATAGTGGAGTCAAAATCTTCTTGGTCATCAATGTTTTGTCAGCCATGAGCCTTACGTGACTCTTGTCTATCCATTTCAGTTTCAGGACAAATTTGGGACCATCGCCTTCTAAAAAAGAACCAGCATCTCCCGAATTTCTTCAGCTCTGTCTAATTCATCCGCTCTTTTTTTCAAACAACTTCTTGTTTTCATCAACAATGGTTTTCACGAACTGTATAGAAGTGCCAATTTACACTGCCCTCATGATAAAACCTTCGCGTGATTGAAAAGCAGGTGGAACAGTTTGTGCATTGACTCTGCTTATGGCAGAAATAGTTGTAGCAGTGAATGAAAGTACTTCTCTGAATCCCTTCATCTGGGAGAATCTAGGATAACGAGGATAACTGCAGGTTTGCTGTTTGTTCTTTTCAGCATGAACCCGCTGCCTTTTGGAGGAAGTTAGTTACCCAGGGGTTCTGGCGCTTGTCATTGCCGACAGAGACATTTCTGAATGTGAAACTATCCCAGAATCGGAGCAAAAATTGAGCCAAACACACAGTATCCATTTCCGCCAGTTGGTCTGTGAGGTGTAACGCATCAATTAAACTTGTCGCCCACATGTCCTCTTTCTTCGAATCTCCAAGAAGAACATTTTTTTTTGATCGCCTCAAGAGGCAAACTTAGTCGAGCTGTGTTCATGCCTACAGGCATAAACTGCACCAAACGTGAGCTCTCTTTCAAAATGCATATTGCATACTCTATACACAGCTTCTTGAGCACTTACTTCTGTGGCAGTAGCATATGTGTGCCTTGACCTTTTCTAGTGGCTCTTTGGCATTGATATTGTCTTCACTCTTTGACTTCTTTTTCTGTCTGGGCAAAGAAGTAAACCCATTTCACGCTCAGTCTCTTTGCTGATGTATGATATGATGCACACCACAATACATGAATATGCATCAATGACATATTGAATATCCATGTTGGCATTCCAGCATTTTAAACAGAGCAGGATTATACTGATTTAACGCATACATCAGTGGGTCAGCTTCTGCAGTAAAATGCTGGTTCTTTACCTAGCGCAGCACATGCAGTTTCTAACTCTTCTTGTGTGACACCTGTTGCCTGGAGCAGTGAGTCAGCTGAATCAAATTGATTGTCTTCATTTATTGCTTTCCAAATTCTGTTCAATATAGCTTCCGCTGTTTTGAAGCGCACATTTTGTCTTTAATATTTCTCGCCAAGGAATCGCGATATCTGTGGATTGCCATAGGCATCCTTAGGGGCAAATCGATCCACAGTTTTGGTTTCATTGTTTGATTCAGGGTGAGTGAAGTGAAGGTTTTGCATGATGGAGGCCTTGGGAAAGTTGAATCTACAGGTTTTACCACCTTTTACGACAGGACTTTTGTATGACGCTTTGCTGTGTGTCTGAACACCTGGGATCAACTATGCTAAGCGAGGTCTTCATCATCTTCAGGCAGTTCACATGAAACATATTCATGTCAACAAAGTTTACAACAGCTTCATCAGAGTCAGATGCTTATTTTCGATTGCATTTTCTATCCAGAAAAGGCAATGAGTATGTGGTGAACCTCTTTGCTGAAACTCAACTCGGGTAAAAGTAGTCAATGACTTTTCTCAATTGGTGCCGTGAGGAGACATGATTACATCTCTGAGGAAAGCATGGAACCTTTTGATCGAACATTCTGGCAGCTGTTACTGGATTTCTTCTCAGTGCTGAACATTTCGACCCAATCATGGTCTTCTGCTTCCTCGTGTCAGATGTTTCACGCAGGATGCAACTCAATGATCTCAGTCCATCTCTCAGTTCTGCAGAGGAAAATGAACAAAACCATGTAGGTATTCCCAACTGCCTGATCATCGCCAAAAGGTCCTTTTGAACTGACTGCCAAAAGGGAGGTGTACCCCCACTGGTTTCAAAAATTTGTAAACCTTCATCATGCTTTAAAATTTGTGAGAGAGATTCTTTGTCTGCAAGATTACTGGCTACAATTTTTCTGTTGCTTTGTGAAGCAGTTCCTTTATGAATGGAAATTTGGACATTAGATTTGACCTGCTCTAGTTCAGAAAGATACTGAGCATAAAATATGTAATCAGTAATTTAGCAAATCTTCCATCTGCATTCACTAATCTGGTGTTCAGGTATCTACCTAATGTCAGCCTTTCGTCTCCTTTCATCATGAAATGTAGGTGTCCCTTTGGAAATAAAGCTGGAAACATTTAGCTTCATTGCTTTTTGTCACCGAAATTGCAACCGCATGTTATTTTCACATGGTGAAATGTTTATGATATTCTCATAATTATTGTCCAAAATATCTTGCCCAATGTCAACTGGTTGAAGACATGTATCCAATATCAATCCATTTTCGTCACCTTCAACTTCAGATATACCCTTGAAGTTGAAGGTGACTTCTGACTCTGGAGCACTTGCATTATCAGAATGAGACGCTCTGCGCAAGCATCTTCAACATTTCAACAGGAACATCATTGTCAATATTTAGTAATTCATCATCCTCTTTATCAATATCATGAGGGTTGATCCAGTCATTGTTGAAATCTATGTCCCTGTAATAAATGTTATTTTTGTTTCAAATATCGCATAAAGCTGCTCAATGCTTTCTGTTAACGTGACTGATATTGATAATGACCCTTGTAAGCCAATTTCCTCTTCAGCTTTACTGGGATCATCTGGTCAGAAGTTTCAACCTCGAGGCAGAACAGTTGTTGTCTGTTTGATAGCTGGATGGAACGCCACAGTTGGTCCATGCACAGCATTCTGCTGGCCTTTGGCAAAGACATAAGTTTCATGAACGGAATGTTGACAGCAACAAGATGTTTGTTCCAAACTTCGTTCAAACAACTCAGTTGTTTTGGGATATCATGTAACTGAAGATTGTTCACTTTTACAGCTTCAGCTGGTTTCCTGCCAGACTTTAACTTTCTGTGACAGGTATGGCATATCCATAACTTCCCACTTGGGCCTGTCAATCGCATTACAATAAGGGCTGCATACAAGTGCCAGTACATTTATGAAGAAATGTTTCTGTAATACAATGACCAGCCAGTTCTTGAGCTTTACCATAACTAGTTTTCAAACATGTAACAACTTGATTTTCAAAAAGTCGGCGATGGCACACTGAACAAACATATTCTGGGCCTTCTGCAATAAGTTTCCTGAAACCTGTCATAACATTCTGCATTTTACTGTTAAAAGCAGTTTTGCTATTTCTTTTGAACATGTTTTGTTTTCGCACCTGTTGTCTGAACGCTGGATTAGTCTTGTATTTGACAGTTTTTGCTTTTTTCGCAGCTTCCCTAAACTGTTCAGATCCCTGGTATTTTGCAGTATTTGCACATTTCACTGCTTCTCTGAACCTCTCGTTTGCTTTATATTTTGCAGTGCTTGCACATTTCACTGCTTCTCTGAACTGTTCATTTTTTTTATATTTTGCAGTGCTGGCACATTTCGCTGCTTCTCTGAACTGTTTATTTTTCTCATATTTCGCAGTGCTGGCACATTTCACCGATTCCCTAAAATTCTTTTTGGTTTTGTACTTTTCGGCACTGGAAGCTTTGACATGCTCTCTGAATTTCTCATTCTGAGAATACTTTTCAATACTTTTTCTTCTCAATTTAGAACGATATTCTTCATTTGATTTGTATTTCTGTTTAGCCGTTTCTTTTCTTTGTTCCTTGGTCGTTTTAGATGCATTTTGTGTCTGCCATTTGGTTGACTTTTCTCATTTCTCTTCTGATGTTACGCTTATGCATTTTCTTGATCGCATCTGTTTCCTTTGTGTTTCTTTCTACACCTGGACACATTTTCATCAACAACGCTTTCTATCTCTGATGTTTCAAGAGTTTTCACTGTCTGAGAAAACCATTTCAACACATTCAGTTTCATATGCATCTTGAAAAGTTTGACTGGTTTTTGAATCAGTGTTGGTATTGCACTTTCCATTTCATGATCAATGTATGAATAGACACAGGAGTAAGTTCAAACATGGTGTTTACATTAGCATTCATAGACGATGCCAAACGCATACAATGTCCATAAACGCCATGAACAGAGCTGTACGAAATGAGAACACTTGCACCATCACAAGCTAATGTACCCTCGGCCATTCCTAGAATGTGAATCAAACACAAAGTATGAGCCACCACGCTGTGTCAACGGCAAATACCGCCTCACAAAAGTTCACAAACATGAGCTGTGATCTGATAATCCCTTTCTAATGCAACTTCAAGGCCAACAAAACCTCCAAAATCGCCCATGCCTTCTGCAGGCCATAACAACCCAGAGCTTGGTTCATGCCTCGTTAGTCTGAAAGTGCTATCATCAGAAGCAGAAATACATTCCGCAGCTCATTGATTAACAGATGTTCTGCCGATATGGTGGAAGATCTTTGGATGTGGCCATACAGCTCATCTCCGCTAACAACGACTTTGTCTAGATCATCCACTGTCCAGTTATATAATGTTTTTATCTGTGCATTGTATTAGTGAAACATCAGTGCACAACAAAGCGCACTGACTACTGTGCAGAGTTTGGCATAAAGCCATCCCCTTTGATGAAAACGACTTCAGCTTTATCTGATAAAAAATTGATTTTTCCGCTCACTCGTCAGTATCAACGAGGTCCATGGCTATAACATTACAGTCACCATCTACAGACCTGTTCATGTCACTAGGATCATCTATTGCTATGCCATCTGAAGTAGGATTTACTTCCTCTTTTCACTGCCTCTAGCCTGAGACTTCTTCCAGTATTTCTTCCGTGGCATTGTTAATGGTTGTTAACTGATAATCACACAAATCAACACAATGACAATTGAAAACTAAATGTGTCAAAACAATGAGTTGAGTGTTGATGAGTGTTAAATCAATGAGTTACACAAAGAACAATTCAAAATTGTTTGTATTCTAGCCAAAGCTAGTCAATGTTAGTTTGTACAATATAATTTGATCCTCTCACATTTGTCGCCAAAATCACCAAATGGGGTGGAATTTTGCCAAACGACAATAACAAAATAAAATTCTTGCTAAACCACACGCCAATAGTATTTGACAAATCCCTATGTAAATTCTTTCAAATGTCGCTATGTGAAAATATTTTACTTTAACCTTAAATATGACGTGTCATAGCCAACAAGCAAAGTTGTCAAAAGAATTAAGCAATATAATTCACCCAATCCTCTCTTTGCTAATGCTGTTAACAAATTCAAATTAATACACCATACAATTTGAATGCGATCTATAAAGATGCACTCACAAAATTCCTTCAATATCAGGATGTGAAAATATTTCAGCAGTCTTGAAAATGATGTCTCAGGCCCAACAGTAAGCTTGCCCCCAACAAATTAAAATAATTATTCAACTGATTCCTTCTGTGCTAGCACTTCACAAAAATCAAATACTGCTCAATATGAATGCGATCTGAATAGTTGCACTCCCAATTTGACAATTATTTCAATACTACTCTGTGGAAATATTTCAGCTACCTTGAGAATGGCATGCCTCAAGGCCAACACATCATATTTGCCTCAACAACTATAAGAATAATTCACAAGTCCCAGCTACGCTAAGAATCACATCTCAATCCGACACTCACAGCAACTACTCAGTAAGTTATGCTCAAGTGACATAAAACCAAGCAGATGGTAAATCAATATGTATCGCTCTCATTTCACCACAAAGCCGGAGAATACAAAGTAACTAATATGGTAATGATCACAGGGCCATGATTAATACAACATAATTTTAATACCTACATAATCATTCTTCAAACTAATAGTAATACGGAAAGGCACCCACAAGGCACCCACAAGCTGAACGTGAAATAACTTTCCCCGCCCCTCAGCCTCAAGATGGATACAAAAATAACCAATATTAGTTGGTACTATAGAAAATTATTATTGCTACAACACCGACATCCAAATCGGTTATAAATTCAAACACTCGGTATGATACTAAATTTAATTAAACTACGCAAAGCGAAAGTTAAACAGTAAAACAGCAGGTGACGAAAACAACACAGCGAGAATGAACTAACTTCATTACATTGTTCCAGCGTTGATCAGAAATCACATATCAATCCGATTTATGCAACAGAAACAAGGCACCTACTACGCGAACTAAATACTCCCAGCTGGAAACGCTATAAAACACTCAACCAATATAATATATAGTAAAAGCAGTCACAATTGCTACACACACCGCACTGGAACCAGTTATATCAAAGAAGGCCACGAGCGCACCAACTAAATAACTACATACCCTCCAGCTAACCAGCTGGACACGTAATAAAACACTAACCAATATAATATAAAGTAGAAGGCAGTCATTGTTGTGGCGTGATAACTGGTGCACACCCAGTTTCAACTACACCACAGCAAAGCAACTACAACATCGGTAACAAAATACTCCTGAGCTAACCAGCTGCAAAGGTACTAACACACCAGTCAATACACTACAGGCAATGACAGCTGCACACCGCAATTCCAACAAGTTCTCTGAGCAGGCCACCCTCGCGACTCAAGCTAGCTCATTACTGGAAATGACGGCCAATGGACCCAGTCAGATGAGGCGCACCGAATATATCCGCTGAAGCGGTGTGCTTTAACGTGAAATCTCGTGGAACATTCACAAGAACCAACTCAAGTTCACAGAAATACACGGCAGCTCGGCTTCAAACACACACACAACTTCCCGGGATGATAGGACCCTCCCTCACCTCCTATCCTCCCACCCAAGCCCCTGGCAGCCAGATAAAATTCAGCTCACTTGGCGGCACATTACGTAACATTCTCTGCCGAAGTCGGTGACCATGGCCATGTGCGCGCAGAGGGAGGGAGAAAGATGGGGGTGGGGGTTGGGGATGTGTCTTGTTAGAGAGCGCAAGTCAGCGATTTGATGTGGCTTGCCATCACAATCACAAACAAT